GCAGTGGGAGATGATGGAGAATGGTGGAAGGGAGGAGAGGAGGGAGGAAAGGGGGTCCCAGTATTGTTCCTGGCCCACTGTCTCTCAAGGCAACCCCTCAGGTGTGCTTCGTAGTGTTTTCAAGGCTGTGACCTCCGAAGCCAATCCCCAGGTCTTTCTTCCAAGGCGCCCCTGGGTGAGCCGGACCTAAAGCATCAATCTTAAACTAGAGGTCTGAGGCGCATCTAGTCCTCATGACTACCAGCTCTGTGTCCTGGGTGTTATCACCCCCATGCTACAGATGAGAAAACAGAAATTCAGAGGCCACACGTTAAGGTCACAGCCGGCTAACAGAAGAGAAGGGATTTGAACCCCAGATCTGCAGCCTGGTTTTTCCAGTTCATGCCCTCTCCTTTTACAGCTGGGCAGCTGGCACAGAAGCCTCTGGGGCCCCTGTGTGGAGAGGCCAGCTGCTGGGCAAGGCGGGAAGGTTGTAAAGATCAGCTTGGAGCAGAGGTGCATCCCATACTAAGCTCTCTTCCCTAATAGAAAGTCAGTTCTTAGCTGAGGCCCAGCTTCAGAGGCAGGGCCCAGGGTCTTGTACTGTGGTCACTGTGTGAGGCAGGCAGGCCCCTGACTCAGTTTGCTTACCTGTAAAATGAGCCCCCTGAACAGAAAGCCCAGAGTCCATTGCAACCCCAGCCATCTCTGACTTGGAGTGGGGCACAGGTATCCTAGAGAGTCCAACGGGGAGCCTGCTGATGGGTCGGTGCTGGGCCAGAGGGACCTTCAGAGGCCCGCTCTGGGAACGACCCCAATCTCTCCTCCCAGGCTCCATTGCCACAAGGGCCTTCCAACTCTTAGCAACCCCCTTGGACAGAGAAGAACTGCCCCACAGGATTTCCAAGGATTTGGACATGTTGACCAGTCCCTTGAGGGCATCATGCTTGCTAACGTAGTGGGGCATCGAAGAGGAGGAGGACCTCCAAACAAGATGGATGGACGCGGCGGCTGCACCGATGGGCTCAAACCTGAGAACCGTTGTGCAGATGGCGCAGGAGCAGGCAGTGCTCCGTTCTGCAGTCCATGGGGTTGCCATGAGTCGGAACCAACAATAGCACCAGACAGCAAGCACCTTCACGAACCGACTGCCTCCTCTTTCTCCCTAGGGGCTGTGGCTGGAGGTTCGCAGCCAGCCACTATTTAACCAGGGCCCAGGGTTCCTCTCCTCCTTGGTTGTCATTGGGTGCTATCAAGCTGTTTGCAAGTCATGCGACCCTGTGCACAACAGGAAACCTGCCCAGCCCTGCACCACCCTCACGGTCTGCAGCCACTGTGTCAATCCCGCCTCCGAGGGTCTTTCTCTCTTTCTATGACCCTCCGCTTCACCACACATGATGCCCTCCTCCTGACCAGACGTCCAAAGTACAGTGGACATAGTCTCACCACCCTCAATTCTAAGGAGCCCTCCGGCGGTACTACTTCCAAGATGTGTCTGTTCTCCTGGCCGCCTATGGTCATTTCATCATTTTCCATCAATGCCACACTGGCCCCATGATGCCCTGACACCCAAGACTGCTTCCTCCTGAGTGTACACTTACCATAGGCTGCAGATAAACAGCATGAGATGGTAGAAAGGAAAGGGTAAGAGACAGGCAGCCAAGAGACCCAAGTTCAAGGTCTCACTCAGCCAGAAACTGCTGTGGGAGCCCAGACAAAGAGTGCGCTGAACCTCCTCTCCCCCATGTGGGAGTGAATGTTGAATCAGCCCACGAGGGAGAGGGAGAGGGGCTAGTATACCTGGAATCAAAGAAAAGAGCACTAGAATAATCTACCTAGGCATTTCCCATGTTTTAACCGTGTTTAAGGAACCTTGCCCTACCCCCGCCCCGTGTCAATGAATGAGCTCTGGAAACAGATGGGTCTTTAGAACAATGTTGCAACAACCCACATCCCCTTCTTGGTAAGCTGCTTGGCACAGGCATACCTCTTAAACCTCTGCAAAGTCCTAAAGCCAGTAACCTGACCAGCTGTTCAGCCAAGCATCCCTTTAGACTTCCTTGATCCTGGAACACCTTGATCAAGGCGCACCTACCTATTCATATCCCCCTGGGATGTTGATCCAAGCCCCCTTTGTTTCAGATAGATTCCTGTCTTGACTTTTCATACCTTAAAACCTCTGTTCTTACCCACTGCCCCTCAGAGCTGCCACATTCAGTAAAAGCCCCAGGCTCAACTCGCTGCCATCCAGTGGATTCCAACTCGATAGGACAAGGTAGAAGTGCCCCTGTGGGTTTCCAAGACTATAACTCTTTACAGGAGTAGAAAGGCTCATCGTTCTCTCATGGTGTGGCTGGCGGTTTCGAATTGCTGACCTCATAGTTGGCAGCCCAACATACAAAGCTGCTACTGTGTACCTCCACTGGCCAAGGGCTGGGAGGCATGCATGCCCAACTATGGGAACATGCCAGCCTCTCCGACATAACCTCTGTGGTGGGAGACACAAATCTCATGCAGACCGGAGGAAGAACTCCTTCTTCTCCTCCATAACCAATGTGTGGGGTGCATACTAGGAACCAGCTCTGTGACAGTTCATAGGGATATCATTCCTGCTTCCTAACAAGGCCCACCCAGGTGTTTGGCTGAGAATCTCAGCATTATAAGGTAGGAAGAGTGTCAAAGCCATCCCTCTACAGCCTTCTTGGCAGAACACGTGGAGACAGCCCGTGTCACATGACTAACAATCTGCTGCCTGCCGTGGCAGCAGCAGGATTCTTCCCAGTGAGCTGTGTGAGCGCCCAGTCTCTGGCCCCTCACATACATGTGCCCCTTCTCTGTCTTCTGCTTTCTGAAAGGCCGGACGAGAAGGCTTGGGAAAGGCAGTGCCGTGATGTGGACAGCTTCCAGCTGAGGTCCACATGGGGGAGAGGGGAAGGAGGTGTCATTACCCCAGCTCATGACAGGAGACTCTCCCTACATAACCTATCATTATCTCTCCTACATGCCGGCGTTTACAAGTCAGGCCCTGAACTCATGGCCCAAGAACACAGAGGAAGCCAGGGCCCTTGACTGTGTGGCCCCCACCACTTCTTCCACAGCTATACACAGGGGCTCTGGGACCTTTCGGCTGGAGACAGGGAAATAGATCAGGCAGGTGGAGAGCACCTTTCACCTTTTGCCCAAGACCAAGCAGCCCAAGAAGCACCTGGCTCCACTGGCACCACCAGCCAGGCCAAAGGTGCCAGCTTTGAAACCAAAGCTCACCAATGAGATGAATATTTCAGAGCCCCAGAGAACTGGACACCTGAGGGACCTTCTATGGCTCCGGCCCTGACCCTGACCCCCAGTCCTACCTGCCCTCCGAAGCCCCATCTACCCCCCAAACACGATTCTCACACCCTTTGGATAGCATCGCAGCTACAAGGGCTTGTGAGGGGACAGGAACCTCACAAGTAAGAAGGGCTCCCGGGCCCACAAGCTCAGGGCATAGCACCCGGGCAGCCTTCCTCCACTTCCTCCCACCTTTCCCGGCTCCCCCACCCCCAGGCTGCTCTGCAAGCTTTCACATCCCACCAGCCGCTGAGACCCCCGGAGAGCGCATTTCCCCAGGAACTTTCCGGGCTAGCTTGGGCACCGGCTGGAAGCAGGGCAGGCTCTGAGCACAGTTACGGTGCCAGGGGCGGCCTCTAACCCACGCCCAACGGCTTGGGATGTCCCCTGGCTTCCCCTACTCGAATATTCATCCATCTGTTTACCCCAGGCCAGCCGGCCGCCACCGAAGTCGGCTCTGGGCCGCCTCCCCCCAGCTGAGGCCTGTAAAAATCCTCTTCCCACACACAGCTGACCACTCCGGGGCCGGCACGTGGACACGCCCTGCAACGCTCTGGGCACTCGGATCAGAAAGAAGGGGACCCGAGGGCCTCCTCAGACCCCGGTCCCCACACGACAAGCACCTCACAACCGGCCCCCGCGCCCAGGGCCAAAGAAGCGTCACGCGCCCGAGGGGCGCAGAGAAAGCGAAACTCCCAACGGGAGGGGAGAGTCCGTCCCATTCCGCCCTGGGCGCCACGGGCCACCGCGGCCCGGCTAACTCCCGGAGCGATTCGCACCCTCCGAGAAAGTTTGGGGGGCCCGGCCCAGCGCCACCCAACTCCCTGCCCCTGGCTTGCCTGGGCCGCGCCCGACCGTGCGTCCGGATCTCCGAGGTCCGGGAGTTGCGAGACCTGCTGGGCTGGGACTGGGCTGCGCTAGACTTGCCCCGGCTACGCGCCCTGTCCCGCCCCGCCGGCCGAGCGCGGGAACGCCCCCTGGGCGGGGCCTCGGGGCGCCGCCTGCGGGTGCTGGGGTGCAGCCTGGTTCCGCCCCGGGTTCTCCGTACGCGGCTCCCACTTAGTAATAGTGTTGGTTTCTTTTCTTTTTAAACTTAAAGACAATATGATTGTCACTGATGGAAATTTAGAAAACACACAGAATACCCATTTATAAACTATCAAGGGCCCATGAGGGAGGGGGGAGCGGGGAGGGAGGGGAAAAATGAGGACCTAATGTCGGGGGTTTAAATGGAGAGAAAATGTTTTGAGAAACGATGTACAAATGCGCTTTACACAATTGATGTGTGTATGGATTGGGATAACAGTTGTATGAACCCCTAATAAAATGTTAAAAAAGAAAACACACAGAAGGCAAGTAAGAAAATAGACGCTCATCGCTCCCAGGGGGAAGCACTTGGGTCGTCACCGCTTTACCGAAACAAGTCTATCAAGGTCATTGTTTCTTAGAGTGGAATCATAATTTGTGTTCTGCTCTCTGCTGTTTTTCACTTATTTTATCATACACATTTTTGGTCACCTTTTCTTTTCTTTTTTTTTTTTCCATACTCCAAAATGTTCTTCAAGAACTCCCGGTGGCCACTGCCCAACGGATTATGCGTTTGGCGGCTTGACCTCAAGGTGGATGGTTCAAACCCACCAGCCACCCCTCAAGAAAGTTGACGCGTTCTGCACCAACAAAGATGTACAGTCTCTGAAATCCACAGGGCCCTTCTCACCTATTCTGCAGGCTCGCTGTCCGTGGCTACGAGTTTTGAGTTTAAGATCTGCTGCACATGCACAGAGTCAATGCTGCGAGGTTGCCCATCCAAAAGCCACGCTCTCCTTCAGGAAAGCCAACACCTACAAAGGACGTTTCCATTCTTCTCCATTTTCTCATGACTATAAATAAACCCAGGGATGCGCATCCCTCCCAAGTCTATGCTTTTAAACTAAATGCACGTCTCAAATTTAAAACTTCCCAGGTCTAAAAATAGAGGGGGGTGGGGGCTACTTAGAGTCTCTGCCACTGAGAACTAGGGTATTTCCTCCTGGAAATTTGAAATTGACGGTTGAAACGTCACTGAGTTCTCCCTAGTTTGTGTGGTGCCCTAACACCAAACCCAGCGGGGTCTCCAACATCTAACAAACCCTAATGGACAATAGGCTTGCTCCATAGGGTTTCCGAGGTTGTAAATCTTGACAGAAGCAGATGGCCACATCTTTCTCTGGCAGAACAACTGGTGGGTTTGAATCCCGGACCTCTTTTCTTAGTAGCTGGGCATCTTAACCACAGTATGACAGGGCTCCTTTGGGAGCCAAACTAAACTAAACCAACCCCAGACCAATTGATACCGACTCATAGAAACTCTATAGGCAAGATATGACAAAATAACAATTTATAGATTATCAAGGGCTCATGGGGGAGGAGGAAGCGGGGAGGGAGGGGAAAAATGAGGACCTAATGCTGGGGGCGTAAGTGGAGAGGAAATGTTTTGAGAATGATGAGGGCAATGAATGTACAAATGCGCTTTACACAATTGATGTATGTATGGATTGTGATAAGAGTTGTATGAGCCCCTAATAAAATGATTTTAAAAAATAAAGAATAAAAAAAAAAAGAAACCGTATAGGACAAAGTAGAACTGCCCCCTGTGAGTTTCAGGGACTGTAACTCTTTCGGGGAGTAGAAAGCCTCCTCTTTCTCCCTTGCGGCAGCTGTTGATTTCAAACTGCTGACCTTTGCAGTTAGCAGCCAGACATGTAACCTTTATGCCACCAGGGCTCCTTGTGGTTCCAAAGTCCATGTTATCTCCCTGCCCCCCAGGCTATGGTAGATGAGTGGCATGAGGGCTTATCAAATCTAATGCTAATAGCTACCAGTTGGCACCAATACCAAAGCCTTTCTCAGCTTGTTGACACTTCCTTTTTGAGTGAACTGGGGCTGACTGGATAAAACACAGCAATTCAGACCCACAGTGCACCCCCAGGCACTGGTGCTCTCCTGGCCAGCTGTTTGTGGAGGAGATAGAGGAAAGAGGGACATAACTGGAAGCTGATTTGCTGTGCTGACCAGTAAACCAAGTATTGGCTTAGATCCCATGTTTCAGATCAATGAAAAGACTTCAGATTAATAAACATCGACATTAAACATTTGCTTCCCCACACACACACACACACACTATACAGATATGCTTAAAAAAGACAGATATGCTTATTTAGCTAGATAAAAAAAGTAAGTGAGAATTACCTAAGAGGACTGGTGGATATTAGAGGGGGAGCCTAACGCCCCTAAAAAACTCACTGCCATTGTCAATTCTGACTCACAGGGACAAGGTAGAACTGCCCTGGTGAGTTGCCAAGACTGTAACTTTTTTTCCCCCAACAGTTTTATTGGCATGTAATTCACATATCATACAATTCAATAGTTCAATCCCATCAAGAAGAGTCGTACAATCGTCACCACAATCTGTTTTAGAACATTGTCTTCATTCTGGTGCTGGTCCTCCAGACTATACCGCATTATGGGAGTAGAAAGCCTCATCTTCCTCCAGGGCAGCGGCTGGCGGTTTCGATTGGCTGTCCTTCTGGTTAGCAGCCCAACTTGAAACCTCTATTAAGCCACCAGGGAGCCCTGGACTATGAGTCCGAGCTGACTGGACGACGGCAGTGAGTTTTTGCTCACTCCCCTAATCACTCTAACCCAGAGGTAGCTCAGCCAATAAGCAAGGGAGGTAAGCATGGGTTTACCCATGCTTATTCATGAGCTGAACAGTATAGTGATGTAGTGAAAACATGTGATGCTGGCCACGACAGATGAATAGATACATACAAGTAAACCCGTGCTTCCTGGGACCCCGCCCCCGTCAGGGATTGTAGCTTTGATTCTGCAGGAAGGTGCTGCTCTGGGGTTGAGAGGAAGGCAGATGCCGGGCAGAGAGGGGAGCAGAATCTTTGCTGTAGTGAACACATGAGGAACCTAGTGCTTTCCTTGTGCTTTTCTTGCTTCTTGGGTAACTCAACACTGAGGCATCCCATTGCCCCGCGCACTATCTGAGAATCCTTAGACAGAAACAAAGGACCCGTATATCTGAAATGCACATTACTGGGTGCCCTGTGGTTTTTCTGGCAATGCCGTTCCGGAGGAAAGGCAAGTCAAGTCACGCCAGTGGCAGCAGGCTGCTGGGAACCTGAGAGGGATCGGGCCCAAGTTTATTTTAGGGATTAAGTTGTTTAGTAATTTATGGGAGGGGCGACAGGAGACAGGAAGGGATGGGAAGGACTTCCTGCTGTGGTCCCCTGGAGTAAACCCAGAAATGGGAAGGGACCGCTAAACTGGAGCTGTGAATCCTGAGAACTTTCTCCGCCTCCCTCTTTCCTCCAGCCCAGCCCCAACCCCCTCCAGCGAGTCTGATTAAGTCTAATCTAAATGTGTCACTCCGCCCACCCAATCATTGGCTTTTTATCACCAACTTCCTCAGAGAAGCTGCCTTTCCCTTGGGCGTGTTATTTTCCAGCCTGGGTCCAGTACACCTCGCTATCTTCATCTTCAGACCTTAGCACAATGGCCTTTTGCGTCTGTTGAATTGGGTCCTAGGGGGAGAGAAAGCGCCCAAACATTTTATAAAGAGCCCTTTAGTGAGTCTTAAACAAAACAAGGACCAAAGACAAATCTAGATGAGGAAGACCAGGATGGTGTCCAAATAATTCACTGCCATGTGACTCACAACTCCACCTCACAGTGACCCCACGTTGTCATTGTTAGGTACCATCGAGTACCATTGATAGCAACCCCGTGCGCAACAGCACAAAACACTGCCCAGTCCCGCACCATCCTCACAATTGTTCCCATGCCCGAGCCCATGAATGCAGCCACTGGGTCAGTCCATCTCCTGAGGGCCTTCCTCTTTTTCACTGTCCCTCCACTTGACCAAGCATGATGTCCTTCTCCAGGGACTGGTCTCTCCTGACACGCCCAAAGCATGTAAGACGTGTTGTCATCCTTACCTCTGAGGAGCACTCGGTCCTTGCTTCTTCAAATACAGATTCGTTTGTCCTTGCTGCAGTCCACAGTACGTTCAGCATTCTTCTCCAGCACCACAACTCAAAGGCATCGACTCTTCTTTAGTCTTTGTCGTTCCATGTCCACATGCATACGAGGCAATGAAAAATGCCCAGCTTGGGTCAGGCGCACCTTCGTCCTCAAAGTAATATCCTTGCTTTTCAATATCTAAAGAGGTCTGGTACAGCAGATTCACCTAATGCCACACATCTGTGGGTCGCTTGACTGCTGCTTCCATGAGCATTGAGCGTGAATCCCAACAAGATGAAATCCATGACAACTTCAACCTTTTCTCTGTTTATCATGATAATTATGAGGGCTTTAGTTGTCTTTACATAGAATTGTAATCTGTACTGAAGGCTACAATCGTTGGTTTTCATCTATAAGTGCTTCAATTCCTCTTCACTTCCAGCAAGCGCAGTTGTATATCGCAAGTTGTTAATAAGCCTTCCTCCAATCTGGATGCCACATTCTTCTTCATATAATCCAGCTTCTCTGCTGATCTACTCAGCATACAGGTTGAACAAGTATGGTGAGAGGACACAACCCTCCCTGGTTCTAAACCATGCAGTGTGCCCTTGTTCTGTTCGCACAACTGCCTCTTGATCCATGAGCAAGTTCCAAATGAGCACAACGAAGTATTCCGCAATTTCCATTCTTCTCAAGAATATCCATAGTTTGCAAAGGTCTGCCCAATCAAATGCCTTTGCATAGTCAATGAAATGCAAGTAAACATCTTCCTGCTTTTCTCTGCTTTCAGCCAAGATCCATCTGACATCAGCAATGATAGCCCTTGTCCCACTGATTCTCCTCTTCTGAATCCAGCCTGAACCTCTGGCAGCTCCCTACAGCGTACTGCTGCAACTCTT